GTCGCATTTCTATATACCTACAAATGTCGATTAAAATGTAGTGCGTACCTAGTTACATTGTGAATAGATTAAGTGTATTTTAGTATTATAAGAACATATGTAGGTGTTTTAATAATTTAAATAAATGAAGGCGCGGTAGATTAATTAGTCTATTCACTACAGTGCAACAAAACGCCAGCTACCTTAATGTCAAATATATTTTGTGATAATTTGGCTAAACGTTTAATTGGCAGGATTTAAAATTAAAAGTATTGAATTATTCATGCATTGAGTGACTGTTGTAATATTTTTTTTAATTAAAATTCCAGGAATTATTCGTCTGAGCGAGTAATCTGGCACCCCATTAAACTTATCAATTGTCGTGTCGTAGATTAATTGTAGCACCGACATTGGCAACTGACCACCAATCTATATTTCAACGGTTCAACTTTTGGGGCAGGGTAAACCGGGGTAATGTAGAAATATAACCAGTAAAATGTTAGACTTGATAGTAACAATATCAATCAATAACTTCTAGTAAAACCTCTGATAAAGCATGTTATTACGTTATTTATTTAGACAATGCTTTCGATTCCATTTGACAGCGGCTATTGAAACTTACGCGCTAAATCTCCGTCGAATACTGAAAACCCCTGGGTTATAACTGTCTCCTAAAAATAGGGTACGTCTGTCGTATTTATCTCCAGCTCCGATAATTAAGTTAACGACTACTTACCGATTTTATTTATCGAAAATAAATATATATTTATAGTTCACTTCAGTACTTCAGTAAATTAAAGATACAATAATTTCAGAAAGAAAACACATATCAGTTATGAAATGATTATTTATTTAATTTTAAAACGGTTAACTACCTTAAAAAATTCAATGTTTGGAAATTCGTGTGCGTCTAGCTTTTTGATGCAATCATCTAGAAAAAATTTAGCCGTTGGGAGGCAATTGATGTATAATTAGGAGGGAATCCGACATACCGAAAATTTTAACCCTAATTAAAAACAGGTAAAAGGGAGGGAACTAGGCATTATCCTAAAGGACGGCTGTTATTTTACCTAATTATTATTAATTGTACACTAATTAATATAATTACGTAGTCAGTGCCAGCTTTCTTTACTTCATATAGAATTACCTAGTTAATCTTTTGATTTTATTATTCATTTTCTAGATTCTTAAATTCGTCGGTGAATATTAATTTTCCAAGTGACAAAATGATGTTGAAAAGCAATTTCGAAATAACGCTAATTTTGTATATCATTTTTCCTAACATGAATACATTTAACAGTCACCCTTAATCCCAGGGTAATGAAAATTTCAACTTCGATTTGATTAAAGCGTGTAACTCAACGAATTTTAATTTCATTTACATGTAAGGATTATGAAGATAAAAAGCTCGCCTGGTTTCGTTATCCTTTTCAGCATCCTATTTTATTATGTCGTTTTGGCCATAAAATTCAGCTCATCAGCTTCACAAAAGAATGTTACATTTGCACTTATACATAAAATATTTTCAACTTTTTGCTTGAATCAGTAATCGTAAACGTTTTTGCGTTTGTAAATAAATCCTTTTTGATTGAATTAAGTTACAGACTGAAACATAATTGAAATGGTAGTATTACTTTACTTAATTTCAGTTCATGTAATCACTTGAAAGGCTCTATTATAGTATATCCTATTTGTATTTTCTATAATAATCCGTTCTCTGATTTCTCCATTTTTCACGTGATTCCAAAAATCGACTTTCGTGTTTCGTATTAGAAGCAAACTCACAATCGGCTTATGAAAATAAATCAGAACACGGGTAGGTGGGCTTCTTGACGTTAAATAGATTATAACAGGTGCGATCGTACTTTCTGCTAACAGTTTTCGTCTCAAGTACTCGAATTAACAATACTTAATTATCAGACGCAATTTGAATGTGAAATGTAACTATGCAAATCACCTAAAGGAAAAACAACAGTTAAAATAGCAGAAATTAAGATCGAATCCCTAAAGATCGTCGCGTAGAATTAGTTACGTAATTGGGGGCTTATTTTTAAAAATATTCTATTATATTTGTTATTGAAGTGAAACTTCTTTACGCACGGTAGGGTAAGTTCGTTTCATGCGAGTTGCTATGTAACGAAATCATGCAACGGATGTCCTACCTCTACTCGGTCACGTAGTCGAGTTCGTAGTGGGGATCGCTTGAGCCGTGAGCGCGCTTCAATGCAACGTTCGTTACAGCCAACTACGGCATGTATGGTGTAAAATTTAAATACATAGTGTACAGATAATACCATTAAACCAATTCCTTAACCCCTATCCCGGTACGTTTGTGTGTTTGAAGACGTTTCACTTCAGTAGCGTGTTGTATAATTACACATTGTATTTTTTTTTGTACCATAAAGAAATGATAAGACGATTGTGAAATATTTTAGCACTATTTACATTTGAGTAAGTTAGTCATGTCGCTTCCTTTGTGTTGTCTTTTCCTACCGTAACTTTATGATGAGAAGCAATAGAATAAAAGCATTTTCATTTAATTTTTTCAAGTGCCTAACGAAAACTTCTGAACAAACAAGTGAACATACCAACCAGAATATAATGAAAGCAAAAATCAATAACCTGGTAATCTTATTGAGACATTCCCATTCTCTGTTCCTACTTTATGCAGGCCCGAAAATTGTTCGAAGAAGAGCGTAAATGTCAAATTTGTTGAACTAAACGTGAAGTCGGAGCTGACATTTCTGGAATCCTTCAAGAGAAAAGAAACGGTCAATTGCTCCCAGAAAATATCTTCCATTCTCGGGAATTGAATTTCTTATATATTTAGAAAAGAATTTCTATACTTTTCATTTTGACATTTCTGAACAATAGGTTTATTATTATTTCATGTGTATTTATTTATTACTAACTCTATTTTTATCGTATTCTGAAACTGAATCCTAAAAAAAGTTTTGTGTTCTTTTTACTTATTTCGTGTAGCCAGTATTGTTTTGGTCTTGTTAATGACGTTTACCTATTTTCCGAGGAATGTGTAACTTTTGAAACAGTTATTTGTTGAAGGGGAAGAATGAATTAGATAGAAGTTAATACAACACACAATCAGTAACTACAGCCGCAGTCGATGTAAAAGTTTCTCACTAATTATGAGGTCGTTAATGTTTGATAAGGTCCTATTTAGTTAAGGATATCGACTTGTCAAATTAAAACCGTAGTGTAGCAGCCTATATTTACCCAATCGAATATTAAGTTCATGGGCAGGGACCTGTCGAACTGTTTAGTTCACATCAGCTCTCACAGTTGTTTTAATTGTACCATGCCGTGTGTTAGTTATTCGTTGAATGCTGTTTCACAGTAGCAAGTAATTTAGTCTATCTAAGGCGTGCTGATGAGATCCAACAAGATAGCAATCGCGATCCATGTCTGACAGTTTGGGCACAGTGATAGACCACTCTTGACTCCGTGGCAAATAGTTTAATGTATAATTGCGTTAACTAAGTTCTAGGACGTATAATTTGTTAATTTTTATAATTAGTTATAATTAATACAAAGCTGTTTCAGGACTTCTAAGTATAAATTTTATAAAAACGCTTTCAAAAAAAGATTATTCTAGACACGCTTAAAATTCTTATAAACTTTTATGAACAATTTTTATACTTATGGGCCTGCTGTAGGAATATTTTAATGTCATTGCGGCATTTTTACTTTATGTTCCTATTGTTTCCAATTCTTACGGTTAGGGAAATGTAATTTTCATGGACTGAATCGAATATTTGACCCTGTATTTTGTGAGTAGGCAGAGACATGCTAAAGCGTTCATAAAACTGAAAGGTTACTTCATATCGTATCGCCAGCCTGCTCCATGAATTTTCACATTTAAATGCGAATGGAATTTAAACTTTTAATAAAATTGCCCGCGATTTTCATAGCTAAGGTATTTCAAAAAATACTAAACCTTTACGATAGACGTACCATAAAACCGCGATAATAGTTTACTATTTTGATAGATGTCAAATCTAAAGTGTTTTTCATGTAAACGCATTAAACTGTACATTAAACACCGAAATAGTATTAGTCTTTATGATCGTTTGTGTTTCGAAAATCCCGGAAAAACTTTTTGATTTCCAACGTAGTACATAAAATTCTTTAGTTATTGTTATTAGTGGATGAAATTGGGAAAGTTTTTTATTAGAACTCATTTTCTAAATAGGCAGACACGAAGGAAAGGATATTTTAAACTTTATGAACTAGCCGTATATGTACCTATACAAACTCAAACACAGATTAAACAGCCGCTACTTAAACTGTAGTAAAACTTGCAAAAACCTTGCTGGTAATAAATTCATTATTTATCGTTGTTTTCTGGATGAAGTGTTCTTATTCACCGAGTCGATTCTTACTTCATTAAGAAGTTACCTTCGACTAGCGAATAATTAATTTAACTACACGTTTTATAGCTACTTGAATTTCGTAATTTCTGGTCTTGAAAGGATAAATCTTGGCTTTCAAGAAAACTTTCGTCGCTTTTTTATTAAAAGGTAATTTTCGTTTTATTAAATTAATTGTAAAATAACGTGTATTACACCTACAATGAATAGTAAAAAAAAACCTTTCTGGTATTTCGTTCCCACCAGCTACTAATGCTACTCGTATATAAACTAAATTAATCAATTAATATTAAAATTAATAAGGAAAATTTGTTTCTGCTATCACTCCCTCGCCGGGAATCGAACCCGGGTACCTGATTGTACGCACCAATACTAATAAGCTGCGTGTCCTTGGAGTTGGTGCTGAGTAGGTACTGGTGAGTAAAACGAGGGGCCCGGGTTCGAGTTACGGCGAGACAGTGACATGAACAACAATTTTTTTTACTCATTTACTTGAGGTTATCTGTAGTAGATAAGGTTAATTAAAAAAAAATAATAATTCAGTAATGTAGACATATTTTACTAAATTATATTATGCATAGTTTTATGTTAGTTACATGATTACATTACAACTAATTTCTACATATTTTCTAGAAAGATCCAGAAAAGGGTTTCGTTTCTTCGGGTTGGTTCTGCACATGTGGTGAGTGTACGAAAAATTCTTATTTGTGTAATGATTTAATAAAAACATAAGTATCATAATTTTAGAACAATAAATTTGTTGCAATGTGGTGTGTTATGTTCCCTGTACCAAATTAGAAAGGAGTAACGATATTGGCCGTGGACGTTTATCGGCCCATTTAGAGAATTGTAGGCAGAACTCGTTACCCTTAAATATTAACCGTTATAACATTGCCGATATGTCGGACGTCCTACGCTCGACAGTATTTTCGGTCCTTTGTTTCCCTTTAACTTTTAAATGGACCCGTCTATTACTTAGAAAGGCCCATTTTTTTTTTCAACGACACGTTCCATTACAGTTAAACGACCAAGCAATATTTTAGCAAGTATGATGTCGACGTTTTACAGTGCCCGCAACTAATCCCTGAGGAATAAAAACAAAAGAAATTTTGATATTTTGTGCAAGTGCGTCATTTTCTCATGGTTAACAAACCTAATAACAAAAAACAGCATATGGTTTGAATTTCTAACAAAATGTAAATAAACCAGTGCTGCGTACGTGAACTATATAAATTTGTTTATCTTTGAAAACAATCGTACGATATTTGTTTATTGCTACTTCATTCTGAAACATTATCTATTTTTAGCGTTCCATATCTTCTATTATGAAAAAAAAAACTGAACCCTTTTTACTGGATCGTTTTATTGTCAGTCTGTAAGCTGTAAACCGTAAGTGTTTTTACGAACATCATTACTTTCTCATTCTGTGGTAAGTGGAATCGTTGAATAAATTAATTTGTCGTCGATGATTATTAAAGTGCATATATTACTAGTTAAAAAAAGAAACTACTAAATTTTTTTTCTCCACCTGGTGATGGGATCGCATGTCGCATGGCGAAGCAATAAAAAAAATGTAAAACTGATGAATTTTTATTATCATGAAATTATTACGTGATATATTTGATTTCCCTGACTTTGACATTCTTTTTTCAGTTATCACAAGCAAATATGGTTCAAATTTACTAGATAATTGACCTTTACGACTTATTCGAGTATATGAATGGATATATTTTGATACATTTCTTGATTTTCTAAAATTCCAAACGCGATTAGACTGAAAATTCACCAAACAAAGATTTGATACATCAAATGACATGCTCTGAAGAAAATTTTTCATTTTCTCAAAAATTTTGTCGTTGACAAATCATATAGCGTACCTAACGGTCCGATTCTCTCTTTCTCGACCGGAACCTACATTCCGATTTCTTTTGACAATCGGTCCTGTTCCTCCTGATGGCCAACCAAATTAAATTTCCCAGCATTCCGTTAGAATTCCCAACCGCTCCTTTCTCGTTACAAGCCAGACGTCGTAGTTCGAATGCTCGACAAATTCCTCACCAGTTGATTCGTCCATGATTTATGTTTCCTGGCCAGAAGATCGATATTCATTTTGCTCGCCCTTCGTCGTCTCAGCTTGCCATGAATCATTATCGCGTTACATCTTCATACATTCATGACGTGTAGTCGGTGTCAGCTGAGAACCAGTTAATGAGAAACATTGGTACAGAGGTGGGAATACGCACATTGTTTGCGACGAAATGTGTTTGAGACCGTGGGAGAAATTCCCACTCGTTAATTTAGAAAAACAACAATTAAAACAGTACTCAAAGCAGGTGCTGTGGACACAATCCTTCAAAGAACCCCTTCAAAGGACTTTTCTCTGGAATGCATGACTAATTTCAACCATTAGCAGCGTCTCCTTTACCTTCTCAAGATTTAAAACAAAAGGATAATAAATATATCAGTTGTTTTTGCCAGTGTCTATTATGGCAATTGTAAAACTCTTAAACAAATGCGCTTCTCAAGTCCTAAATAGATCTTTATAGAGCCTTTAAAATGGCTATTGTTTTTTATTAACTGAGCTGTGTTTATTCTAGTAATTATTTCACGTATGTACTTTTTGTATAAAGAATCAAATAAATAAATACGAAAGAACCAAAACATGGTAGAAACGCTATGTTTAAGACGGTTCGAAGTAAGTTAAGTTTTAATTTTAGAATGTAGCATTTTGTGATTTCTCAAAACAAAATCGCCAGAAAGCTGAGATCAGGATCGTATTGACCTTATTGATCTACTATTTAGTTATTTGCCTTCCTGAAGTTGTCTATAACTAAGACAGTAATTTGTTCGCTGATCCAACTAATCGTGTGAAATTATATTTACATGTTTTCTCTTATCGAGGGCCCTCTAGCTGTTAACAAGGTTCCGTTTGATTACAGTTACATAGTCCCAAAAGGATTTTACCGGTTCGTTATTAGATAATTAGATTAGATAACTGTAAAGGTTTCGGGCGTCCGCAAAATTCAGCCGCACATCGTTTAACTTTCCTTTTAGACAAGTTAATACTAATACTTACATCAGCTAGTTACGGATTGTCCAACAAAATATAAATTGTGCTATCTTTCCAACTTGGGAAAGGTGATTTATAAACGGATTTACCTACAAAACAGAAGGCGCAATAGTCTTCGAAGGTGTCAAAAAACTCACAAAGTACCTAGGTAGATTGCGTTCTTTTGTTCTGTAAATGATTCAAAGATAAATGACAAAGATAAAGTTTCTCTGACTAAATAAAGAAACAAGAAAGAAGAATTAAGGGCTAATTGTCAATTAGAACGCGTACTAAATTAAAAACTATAACTTTTTTTTATAAATTCAAAAAATATTGGGAAAGGTGTTAAAATTACATATTAAAAAACTCTGAAATAAGAACATTCGTAATTATGGATCATATAAGAAATAATCAATATAATCAATTTGTAACAGCGAAAACGATTAAACCCTACATAAATTTGTTAAAGTATTTAATTATTTATTGGAATTGTTCTGAAATTGTTATACATAAGTATGAAGAAAGTAATTATACAACAGTGCTGTTTGACTAATTTTCTTATTTCGACAACTTGTAATAGGTATTAGCCCCTTTAATAATGCTCCTTATCGATCAAAACATTTTCGAGTACCTAATCTACATTAAAATTCAGAAACACATTAATATTTTACCGTTGTTCATGCAACTTTTCACATTTAAGCTTTGTTCTTGATGAAATTATTTACATTAACCTTTAATTTCCTTGTAGGATGTTGGCAAATCTTTTTAAACAATTTAATAGAAGTTCTGACTTTAAAGCATTTATGCGTATAGCTTTTATTGTATCCATGTTACAATAAATACTATAGCTTAGTAAGAAGAAAGTAAATGTGACAATTTTATTACAGACTGTGCCAATTCTGAATGTTCCAACTATATAAATGCTATTTATTCGCTCTGTAGGGTTTTCTCTTGTGTCCAATTAACATTATTGCTAAGGCGTTTTCTGTACTAAGCATCGCACATTGTATCGCACTATGAACTCGCTTTTAAGTTGTCTGTTGTTTACTATCTGTCGAAAGTTATATCTTCTCAATTCAAAATAGCTCAAAGTTATATAAAAAGTATCACAAGAAAAACATTTTACGTGAAATCAAATCGGATACGGAATATGTGACAACAAAGTAACTCCTGATGCAGGGCATATTTTATAATGCCTTGTGAGAAAAGAAATTCTTGACAACTATAAAGATGATGAAATGTATGCAGATATGTGTATGGATAAAAAAGTCCTTTCTGAAATTCTTTAGATGCTTATAAAGGAATGCCTTGTGACATTTAGCCGATTCAAAAATGAAGGCAGATATACTCATCCCTGAGCCAATAAATAAAAATAAAACAAAAATTCTGGTATGGAAGGGAAGAAAAAGTACGGAAAGAACGAATATAAATATAGGAGACGAAAAATTAGAAGAAGTGGCTAATTTTAGGTATCTAGGAAGTCAGATAAGTCAGGACGGAAGGAGTAGTAGCGATATAAAGCAAAGGATAGTGCAGGGATGAGTCGCCTTCAATAAAAAAAGTCACTTCTATGCTCGCGAACGGTTAATTTATAAATTCGAAAAAGGTTGTTAAAAATGTATGTTTGGAGTGCCGTGCTGAACGGGTGCGAAACATCGACAGTGGACGCGGCGGAAAAGAAAAGGTTAGGTGCATTCGAAATGTGGTGTTACAGGCGAATTATGAGAATACCGTGGATAGAGAAGGTATTAGAAAGAATAGGAGAAAAGGGGACTTTATGGAAGTCAATAAGAAATAGGCGAGACAGGTTAGTAGGACACCTTCTCAGGCATAAAAAACTAATCAGAGACATATTAGAGGCAGAAACGGGAGTTAGAAGGAGTAGAGGTAAAGATTAGATTACTGTTCGCAAATAGTTAAGTATGTGGGTTGTTCTAGTTTTAGGAAAATGCGAAGATTAGCTCAGAATAGAAAAGAGTAGAGGTGCGTGTACAACCAATCTTAGGAATTTCACGAATAGATAGTCATTAAACTGTATATTTCTTAAAGGCATAAGCGAGGATGTTTATGTTTTAATGATTTCTAATAGTCGATTTTCCATAACATACGTGTATTTTGTTGCAAATTCAATTTCGAAGCAATTATGTGCTATAGATCTTTGTAGGCACGGTACAACTTCAAAACAATTTTCATTAACTTCTGTGGATCTCTTGCAAGCAGGCACTCATTAAAATCGTTTTTAACGAGATGGAGGCAAATTTCAAGAACTTGTTGAAACTCCAATGTACCATAAATCTCTATCGACCTCTGGACTAAAAGTTAAATTTATCTCAACAGTGTGTGCTTGTAAGTTATAAGCACATATACATCAGAGCCGGGTGCCGATACTGACAAAATGTACCCGGATATCAGATATAGATACCAGCAATACTAGATACGGATGATTTTAGTTGGGAAATTTATTTTAAATCGGGATACATCTTTCCGGATAATAGATGCGAACACCTTTTCTATTGAAAATCCTTCAAGAAATTCAAAGAGAAAGTTAGTGTAGGTAAGTGTAAGTCTGGTTCAAGAAAATATGTGTATAGACAGGTACAAATGACATTTGAAGGAAAGGACGAATACCTACA